AGTTGAAGTATATTGCAGTGTAGTTGACTTGGGCTACACGTATGGAAAAATTGTCAACAGTGGGAAGTGGAGCACTGAGCACATCCCTTGACTTGGAAGATTGTGGAATTCCATCAATGGAAGTTTTAAAAGTTTGGTCTTGGCTCACAGGAATGATGTAAGTACAGTTCATCCCATTAAAAAGAAAAATAGAAAAATCCTTAGTTACCTAAACCTGTCAATGGGAAGAACATCTTGGAGTTTGTAAGACCTTATGTTCTCACTTTTATCTGTAGATCATTTTTTTCAGTCTTTTATATGTTTTGATCATTTAACTTGATCCTTAGTATCTCATTATCTACATTTATTTCTTTTCTTCTTAGGGTACTTGATTTTCTCTTCTTCCCTTCTACGTTATTTTGTTTCTGCCCATTTCACCTCTTGGTTCAAATGCAGAACAGGAAAACAAATGCTTCTCCTCCATGAGTTAGATGGGTGGGCTTTTGGTCTTGTGTATCCAAAGCTTTATCCATATCTGAGGATTTTCCCTTCAGTTAAGGATCAGTTCTTGAGATGTTCTTCTCTTGCAGGTGTGCACAGAGCTTGAATTCCTCTGCAGCTTCTCTCTTCCATCACTGCTTCTGATTTCTCTGCTTCTCTCGGGAGCTGTTAGGTGAAGCTGTGCAAGCCAGATATTGATTTCTGGCTAATGCCTGTTCTGCAACTTCTGCCTCTGGGTATTTCAGCTGCCTCCAGGTTTCAGTTCCTTTTGTCATCACAGGTCTTAAGTAGAAACTCTCCATTTTCCTGCTTTTTGCTTATTGACCCTCTCAATTATTGGCTGCTGTGATTTTGGGGTCTTTTTTAAGTTATTGTCTGTATCTTCAGTTAATGCCTGCAGTTCCTTCTGGGAGCTGTCTGGGCTCCCTCCTGGGCTTAGTCATTGTCATCCTCCGTTAATCTCTCCCATGTTAGTCCCATGCAAATTTAAAAACTGTGAAGCCCTTAAATGCTGCATTTGGGAAATTTTAAGATCTATTAGCCAGTGGTAAGAAAACATGCACGTCTTAATGGTGTTTCAGGGTGATTTGACCATCTACCGCCCGCAGTCACGGTGGTGGGCTGGGAAGCGAGCCCCCTCACTCCTGTTGGTGTTTTCCACACTCAGTTTCGAGCCCCACCTTCATTTGAGTGGCATTCGTGTCTGGTGTTCTTGCCGTGGTGGGCTGTCATCTTTTACATAGTGTTTCTTTTAAAGTTTGTGGGTTTGTTTATTGTTTTATCTTTGTCACTTCTTAGAGTTTTTATTCTAGTGATGCTCGGGCTATTGCAGGCGGTAATAGAGCCTCTTTGTGATTTAATTTTATCCAGTTCACAAGATATTCAAGTATCACAGTAATCTAAATACTAATTTTATTCATTTACTCGTATGTTTTCCCAGGTTCAAGTAAGTATTATAATTCCATGCAATCACAAAATGAACGACTGTCTCTTGGGCCTTTATTCCTTTTTTCCAGAAAGGAAATGATTGTCCAGTTTTGGTGGATAAGTTTCAGTGAAGGAATCCTCTGTAGCTGGTACTGAGACTCTGCACAGTCCCTCGGAGGACACAACGAAACTGCCTCGTTAGAGGAAAATCGCTGATGTCCAGAAGGGGGGCAGAGAGGTCCCTGTCTGCTTGTGCTGCCAGAAGTCAGTCCTCTTCTGGTGGTGCATTTCATGATCAGGATTTACTTTAGATTCTACTTATAACTGCATTTTTAGAAACCTAGTTAGGAAAGGGAGTTGCCTTCAGTATGTAAGTTGTCTTCACGTGATTTTTGGTTTACTTTTGTTCAAGCAGTGAGTGATTGCATCTTGAACACTTTATATATTTATTTAGTGATAAATATATATTAGTATTAAATAAATATTAGTAAAAGTAGTTTTAGAGGATTCTGAGGTTAATTGTCATGATTCCTCCTGCCTGTTTCGTTGAGTTTATAATATTTCATTTGTTAATTATAGTGTCTTTTTAAAAACTGAGATTTTCTTAAGTGTTAGTAATATTTCCTTCAGCTAAAAATAAAAAAGAATGCCCTTCATAATTCATTGTCAAATATAGCAAGGAAAAAAAAGAGAAAAACTTGAGTTATTTGCTTACCTTAACACAGGCTGAAACAAGTGTGCTAACCCTGCCTTTTACACAGTGAAATATGGAAAAGCCGTGTGCTGCCAAAGGACAGATGTGGCAGCAGCTGTTGCCATTTGCTGGGGCCACGTTGTCCCTTTCGGCACACCTGGGGACCTTTGGCAGGACGGGCCCGTGGGCGCTGTTACTTCGCTGGCCAGCCCGAGTTACCCACGCTGGCTTTGGGTCACAGTGTGGCATCTCAGCTCTTGTACTGGCGTGTTTACTTTTTATATCAACTTCTCTCCATTTTGGTTGCCGTTAGGGGGATTCCTCGGTGCTTTTCCAGTGATTCCTGTGACATTGAAAGTCACAAAAGTGAAACACTCGGGCAGAGAACCAGGCTGCCTC